CAAATCTAGAGTGAATAAATAGGTCTTTTTTAGGCAGACGTGTACCATAGTCCAATAAGTCTCAAACGTCTCAAAATCGTCTTACACTTTCAAAAGAAAATGCAAGCGTTGGCTACTTTCGAGGCAAAGATCGGCAAGTAATTGGATGTAGCTTACATTCTTATATTTTTATTTTTAGATACTATTCATCTATATTAAGTATTTTGAAATTTTATTTAGCACTGGTATCATAATGACAATAGAATTCTAACTTTAAGCGATATGTATAATATAGGTATATTTATAGTTAAGTGATAATTTTTTGGAGCTACTCGAGACGCGTCATACGATTGCTGTCATTGGAATGTAGCGAGTTTCTTCAAAAAGGTAGGGTCTGAAAAACAGCTTAAGCTGACACTCTTTCCTTTTTATCTACACAATATATGTAACTATAGATAATGTTATTTAAGACTAAATTGTTATGCAAATGTAGATAAATAAAGCTTTTTATTATTATTATGAATATCAGAGTGATTGTGGCCAAGTGTGAGTATATTTTAAATAAATAACAAAATTGCACGATGGCTATTTATCAAAGAATTCCAGATTTGTAATTGAATGTCTGGATGTGTCACCATCATAATATTCAATTATTTTTTGTGAAATTACTCCACTAGTTTGTTATAATATTATTACATTAATACAAAGATGTATAACATCCTGATATTACATAAATTTAATTACAATTATTAAAGCGACATCTCTGGTCAGCTGCTGGTAGCTGTGAAGATACCTGGCTGAGAGAAGAAATAGATTTCTCACTGATGGCGCTACGACAAAAAAGTCGTTAAAAAAATCAAAGATCTGCAACAAGTACATACAAAACTTTGTAGGTTCCGCTGGTTCGTTCCGTGGCTTAGTTGGCGTGTAGCACGGTTTGCTAGGAGACGCTGGTTCAAGTCCAGCGGGATCGAAGGAATTTGTTTCTAAGTATTCAGTTTTATAATTACAATTCCAGATTTGTTTTGATTAGTGCCTTATGCGTTGTTTTGTTATTAAATAATATGTAAGAAGCACGGCCATCTTACATATTTCTGTATACAGGCTGTATATTTGAAAGTGGGACATACTTATAGAGTGCGTTATATTCCTGATTCTCAACCCAAAGAAATAATAAAGTAATGAACTTAAACTTTACAAAAAATATTTTTTAATTTTTTTTTTATCGACTACTACTTGAGCACAACATTAGTTATCGAAATCTATGCACATCACTATTATTGCTCCGACGCAGCGGCGAAAAGCAAAGCACAGGTCGGGGGTGAGGACGCGGGCGCATACGCGAAATTTTTCAGTCCACGCGCGACCTTGATCTAACGAAGACACGTAAATTATTTGTCCTTCCGCTCGCCCGATCGCCGCAAAATGGTTATTTATTCTAACGTGGAATTGACTGAGATGGTGCGACTTTACGCAATAAGTGGTGATAGTGTGAGGCAAGCTATTGAAATGTTCCCAAATCGGAGTTTACGCGAAAGAGGTGAACAGTGTCGAAGCGTTGCGTGAGAGGATTATCTCAGCATTTTATACTGTGAGACAAAATGTGTTTGTGTTGTACAATTTAAAACAAAATTTACTATGCCGTGCTAGACTATGCATTGTGGAAAACGGTGGACATTTTGAACACTTGCTCCGTACCACGTAAGTGTAAATAAACTGTAAATAGGTAACTAAAAAATCAATCATTGTAATTAATTTGATTTCACATTTTTAACTACGCCAAAAACCTCAATTCTTATTAAATGATAACTACTTACTAAAACATTTCGATGATAGTTCAAGTAAAAAACAATTAACATAACCTAAAACGTAAATGTGAAATCATTGTTATTGTTGCTGTCTCACTCGGCACTCGCTCGGTAGCATTCCCATTACACTCGAAATTAAGCGTTAATATCCTAATTTTATTTTAGTCTATGTTAAGTTGTAACATGATTTACTATGACATGTATGAATATGTCTCACTTTCAAATATACAGCCTGTATATTTCCAGCTGCAGAATATCACGTACCTTTGCCCAATGGTAATGTTAATCAACCCTCTCATATTGTGGCGACACCATTTGGCTACGTTGGGCGTATGGGTGGCGCTGAACATGGCCACGCGCCGCTGCTGGCTGCCGCACGCACCCATTATTTGTTCCAGCTGCTGTCTGAAGTCTGATTCTTGCTCAGCCGAGCCTTCGAAGAGCTTGTCTGCCTCGTCAATTATTAACCAACGTACTCTGGAAATATTAATAAGTTTTTTAAGTTACTTTATACACCGTAGCATTTTAAGCATCGCGCTCAAAATAAACACGTCAGCACGTCGGTCATTTTACAACATATTAGTAAATTTTAAATTAATGCCGATTTTTCTTCAAATGTAGACACTTGCAATGTTACAGATGATGTGTTAACATACTTAGCAAAATTATAATTACGTCAATGTTGCACCAAGTGAGCCACGTATTAGTGATGAAATGTACTAACCCCATTAAATAATATAAAACAAAATCGTCCGTGAACCAAGTGATGGTTAAAACGTGCAAACGCAACTACAATCACAAACATCACAATTATCGTCCATTTTAATTAGTTGTTGGATATTTTTGTATGACATTTATCAAAAATAGTATAAGGTAGACCGTAACAATTGTAAGACCAGCTTTCCTTTTGTATTCTCAATCCTCCACAACGCACTTTGATGCAGTCTTTTTCACCGGCAGCAGGCCAGCCTATGAGTTGGCAACAACAAGAAGTAGAAGTGCTTAGTCTGCGTGTCACGTTTGCCACAGTACGCGAAGTTTCACATACTTTTGTACGTCATGGTTTATCTCGCGCAAAATTTCGAAAATCGTAGAACTTAATTAAATTTTTATTGAATTGATATTCAATTGTTTTTTGTGAAATTACTCCACTAGTTTGTTATAATTATTAATACAAAGATCGAACACTCAGAAAAAATTCCTTCGATCCGGTCGGATTCGAACCGATGTCTTCTTGCATACCGTGTCAGACGCTATGTACTTGGTTTTTCAACGACTTTTTTAGTCGTAGCGCCATCTATGAGAAATCTTTGACAGATTTATCACCCAGTTAGTACCTTTACAGCTACCAGTCCTTTTGAGTGCTTTTTCTGAGTGTTCGATCTTTGTATTAATAATTATAACAAACTCGTAGAACTTACTTTGGGATGCAAAAATTATAGTCGCACTTGTAATATTATCTATGGTGGTGTTTCATATCATTGTGAAGTCTTATTTAATGTAATTTTAATAAATTTAAATTTTCTGTTTATCGTAATATTTTTTTATTACAAGAAAAGAAAGTAAACCTTATACCGCTGCAATGTAATATGGTCGTTTCTTTTTTTGAGAACTAAGTAAACATCTCGAATTTAGCGTCGTTCAGATATTGACCGCTAGATGGCAGCACATTCAGGGTATTTTTTTTTAAGATATAATAGACACACGCTTGGCCACAATCTCACCTGATGTTAAGCGACGATGTGACCGACGATGGGACGCGTTTGCCTAAAAAATGCCTATTCACTCTAGCCTTGAATAGCCCCAAATTGTACTTTTCGGGAAATACAGACTGAATGAAGAATGGAATGCTCTACCGGCGTAGAGCATTCCATTCCTAGGGTATTCAGGGTATTAAGCAGTATTCCAGAACTCTAGTCAATGCTCCAGCCAGGATTTGAGCCGACTTGAGTATGATTTCAAGCACTGGAAATACGACCCTAATGGCAAGGACTTGAGTATGATTTTCAGTGCTCACTGCAATACTCAAGTCCTGACTTGAGTACTGAGTAGAGTTCTGTAATACGACCCTCAGAGACTGACCAGTTAGTTTTGTTGTGACTAGCAAAACTAACTGGTACATTATTATTAATATAATAAAGGGTGCTGACAAGTGCGGTTGAACCCTAAACGGACAGCCCTTGAAGTTAGTTGATAGTTCTAAAGTCGCTGTTATAAATTCAAGGGAAGTTATAGAATATAACCATCAGTATATTACTTACTTCTCCAAAGTGATTCCAACGTTGTCTCTATTCAGTAAGTAACACAATCTGTTTGGTGTACTTATTATTATATCTGGAAAGAAAGATAAATACCCCATGAAACATGGCTCTGTGCTATGTGCGTGTATAACAACAAAAGCACACAGAAAATAGGTAATGGTCTCAAATTGGTGAAATTACATGGGACTTATCAACTTATTTCGTAATTCAATTAATTTAATTTGTTGCTTTAAAAGTGGTAAGTAAAATACTTGATGGTAATGTTTACAGAATGCTGTTTCACACATTTAGCCATTTCTGACATGCAATATATAAACAACAAGAGTACATGCAAAAATATGTCAAAATTATAAAGTTATGTCCTTTATTTAATAATAATAATGTGTGAGTTTTGACGACAGCGGTTCTGATAGTAATCGAGCCTTAAGGCATTTGAGTAATTTTATTCTTCCATGTTCAAACCAGTGTCTGTTGCCATGCCGTGGCAACCGCTCTTAACCAACTGAGATATAAACTGAGTCAGCAGATCTTACGAATTCTTTTATGTGTAATGCAATAAAGGTTTGTAATTGTTTGCGAGTGCTGCAGTATAGGTTTCCTATAAAGTAACTTACATAGAAATTTTACTTAATAAAGTTGACAGAAGTGCTTACCACTCTTTCTAATAGTAGCCTCACGTTCCTTGACCTTGCTTTCTTTCATATTTCTCAATACACTACACCTCAACTCGGAGCTGGTGCTAAGTCTCAATGCTTCCCTGTAAATCTGGTGAGCCAGCTCTCTCGTGGGGCAGAGAATAAGGGCTCTAGGGCCGCCCTGGGCTGCGCCTAGGGTGTGGATCAACGGGAGCAGGAATGCCGCTGTCTTGCCTGAGCCTGTTGGGGCACAAGCTAGGATCTGGCGGTCCTGGAAATGAAATATTAGTGTATAGATACAAAAAAGTAAACAAGTATCATTATACAATTTATATTTCATAAGAAACAATTGATAGTCGATACATGGTGCTTAGTTTCCTAGGTTCAATTCTTAGTAGGACTAGTTTAGGAAACAAGCTTCACTAAATTGGTTCTGGTCAATATATTCTGATGCTCTTGGAGTTCAGTTTATGATAAGGGAATTCCCTAGTTTGAGACCAGGCAATTGGTGTTATGTTTATCTATCTATAATGGCAGGGTCATGGTTGTTAGTGTAGTTTTAGGAGAGGAAAATGTTATGACAAGGCATCGAATGCTGAAATTGAAAAATTGACACCAGTGACAATTACTAGAAGTAGTATTTCTGAACGATATAGTTAGTATTTTTGAAAACAAATTTAAGTATTTATTAAGACTCTACATTTGAATTCATAACTAATAGTTTGTACCACATAAATGATATTGCATCTCAAAGGCATATAATCATTTATTACATAGGTAAAATTTTTACACTTGAGAATGTCAGTTTTTAAGCTACTGTTCGTTCACAGTGCTGACTTCCCTGACAAAAACGAGCAAGAAACTCTAGGGATTGCTCTTTTCAAACTTAAATGCTATGGAATACACTTTGAACCATATTTGTGTGGAGTCTAGACTCATGCCGTCTTTTTATACATCATTATCTAACACAGTCTTCAATTTTGTAATATGACTTTTTAATTTAAATTAATGTAAGTTTTAAACTTAGGAAACGATAATCCTAATATATCTTATGGTGGAATCCTCAATAATTTTAACAAGGAAGCAAACATACCTCTAACATACAAGGCAAAGCCTGCCTCTGAATTGGCGTAGGCTCACTGTATCCACATCTACCCACAGTGTCCACTAATGCTGCGCTAACATTGTATCGTGACGTGAGGTCGGAGAAGTCTTGCAGTGCGGCTGGAATGTGACGCCCGATTGCTTTGATGCCATGGAGGTTGCGGAAGTGGTTTTGCTGGAAATAGGCCACAAATATTGACGTACATTTATTAAGATTTTTATTTAACTGTAAAGCACAGTACACTAGTTGAGGGTGGCTGTGCGACGGAGTTTTCAATTGTAATTTTTTATTTAATTCTAGTAATGATCGATAGCAATGTTTCTTTATTTATAATGCCAACAAAAATTGTCTTGTTTTCACTTATATGTATAAGAAAACACAAAATAAATAGTTGTATATTGTTTTCTATAATATCAAGTTTCTATAGTATCAAAACTGCCTCCGTGGCCGAACGGTTGCCATGCCGGACTGCCACGCAGAGGTCCCAGGTTCGATTCCCGGGCCGGGAGAAATATATGTATGGCCTACAATTATTTCTCTCGTGAGTTTGGGTGTAATTTGTGGTTGTCTATGTGTGTGTCCATGGCACCCGCGACACAGGGTTTCCCTAGTGCGGGGCAATGTTGAGTGTGTGCGTTATTTATAAAAAAAAAAAAAAAAAAAAAGTGGCAGGACGAACAAGTCGTGTGAGCGTGAACAGTTGCAGTGCTACTCACAGCTTTAAATCGCAAAGATCTGAGGGGCACTACCACTGCGTCTGTCATCCTGAGACATAACTTCACAAGTATTGTGCCTGTAATTTCACCAGTACCCTTACCCTTCAAAACTGGAATGCAGTAATGCTCACATTATTGCCTGGTGGCAGTACTTTCCTGGCTAAAAAGTTTTTCCCAAGGAGCTTTCCTACTATTGAAGAAGCTTTACTGTTACTAACATAATATGAAAGACCATTTCCTATTTAGCAGATAATGATAATTAATAAAAATGATTATTGCTAGTTACGTTTTTCAGTTACACTTTGTGTTCTTTGTGAAATTGCTCTAAAATATTAAAAGACCAATAAAAAATCATATTTTAGCATGAAACTGAAATATTATACAATTTACCAAACATTTTTGAATAACAGCTAACGGTGGAAGGTTATTAATAATTTATTTCATTTGTACTACCTGCTTCAGATTTGTTATTTGGAACATAACTGATAGACAACAAACCTCCTCTAACTCCAATTTCTTTTTCAGATCAATAGGTTTCTCTTTTCTTCTTTTCTTTCTCTTCTCTCCGACTTTGACACCTTCTACTAATTGCAATTCTTCATCATCATTGGAATTATCATCATGATCTGTATTTTCAGGGTCTGATAAACTTTCATATTTAATGTCTTCCTCACTTTTTTCTGTCTTTATTTCTTCCTTTTTTATTTGTTGAAGTGTTGGAGATGGATCCTGCAATAGTGTAATTACGAAGATTTTATTATTATTAAAAAAAATATTTGGTTTAGACTTAATATATATATTAATAACCATAGGCAAGTCATAGAAGTATAGATGAATAATAACCTCACTTTTGGACTACCATTTTTCAAACACGATTTTACTATGCTATTCAAATGAATATTGTTGGAAAAGTGATGTTATATCAAGTCGAAAGCTTCGAAATATACGTGAAAGTGTTACTTATTCGAGTTTTTGAGTGATTGCTTTAGAATTTTAACCAAATAGGTTTGTTTACTTTTTGTTCAAAAAATACAATTTTACGATATAGAACAAAAAATCGAAACAGTTTAATATTCAACATTGGGGACAAGTTTAAAATACACAGATTATTGGCTAGACTGTTATTAACGTGTTCTTAGCTTTTTAGGTAAGTTTTACGCAGAATAATATCGAGTTAGATAATTAAACAGTAGAGGTTAGGTCCAATACTCACATTGTTTTTAACGCCCAAAACCTTGCGTTTGAATGTTAGGCCTTTAGTTAATTTCTTGAAAATATCGTACGCGTCCATGTTAATGCCATTTAATGCGAATTTTTAGCGAAACTCTTGGCAAAACACACGTGCAAACTACACCAGTCACCAACAACAATAAGTTCCACAGACTATTACATGATAAGTTCACAGCTACTCAGTTATAGAGATGAGATTAACTGCTATATTCGCATAGCACGCTAAATGCTAAATTTTTATAGCGCGCTATTTAAAGTGCTATAATTATAATTTTTAGCATCTCTAGGTCGTGTGATAATGTAACCAACAATGGAAAGGAACGTGAAATAGTTGACGTGCGCTAACTTGTTAAGTATAGCATCTATGGTCTATCTATAGAACAGTTTACAGTTTTTTATGGTTAGTTACGATTGACTTCATTGGTTTTGTAACTATTACATAATATGGTGGTTACAGGTTATAGACGATAAATCAATGAGCTTCCCTTCATACTTTAACAATTTACTATTTATAATTTGCACAAAACTTTACACTGGTTATTTACAATAAATTACATTTATAATATTTAATAATAACGCACACACTCGTACTTTTATATACATATATTACAACGACTTATTAATTAAACAAACGCTAAACTAACTAAATAAATCCAAGTACTTAATTATATCTTAATTTAAATCGCTTCACCAGACGAAATTTTGCTAACGTTCCACCATTAGCTCAAAATCGTATTAAAACGTAACCAAAATTATAATTTATAACATAACTGCAATTATAATACTCGCTAAGTGCTAAATGTAGCATTAACGCTTAGCGTACTCAAACGTGAAATTTAAAATAAAAAAACTAATCAGCTATTTCGCTTTTCGCACCAAGCGTTAAATGCTACAAATAATATGTGAAAGTATTTCACGTTATAATTGTTTCAACCAATGACAAGAGCCGCAATTTTCACATAGAATATGGTGCCATCTATAAAATATTAAGGGAGATAACTCAGGACGACGAAGAATTTAGTTTGTTAGCTGCGTAAGTAAAGCACGGATAGATTGATGGTATGACATTGAAATATTGTAAAATGATGTCGCTAGATGGCATTTGGTTTAATTTTCTTAACGTACTCCAATTCAAAGTGAAAAAAAGTTCGTTATAATTTTAACACCTTTATGTCTTTCAAATTATAATTGCTATAATTATTTTTTAATTTAACGTTATAATTTGAGCTATATATTATATTAACCATCTCTACTCAGTGATGACATGTTGACATTTGATTTTTTTTATTAAGAATTTTGGCTTGGATACACAGAGATGTCTTCGTTTAATTATCGATCGGGATCATCAATAAAATATATTTTGCATTGTAGTTCTAGTACAGTCTGTACATACATTATGTTTTCATTTCTTCATAAATAACGTAGTTCTCTTATTTGGGTTTTCTAAATATTCTTTTAAGCGGCGGGAGTCATATTAATGTTTTCACTTTCATTTAACATCATATTATTGTCACTTTGAACAAAAACTTTAAATTCGTAAATTAGTGTAATTTTCAGGATAATATCTTACGTAGTTTGGTTTAAAATAAGGACTATAGTTCTAACTTTATTAATTATCATTTCTTTCTTCGTATTTTCTTCATAATATACTTAAAACAAAAATAATCTTTGTAAAAACTGTACTCGTAACTTTGGAAGCGCGCCATTTTTTTTGGATGACATTTGAAAATTTGACTGTTACGTTCAGAAATTACGAAATTCGCATTGACTTGAAATTCGAGTCTAATAGTTTATATTGTGGGCGCTGGATGCGTAGGTCCCAGGTTCGGTTCCCTGTAGGATCAATTTGGAAAATTAACTTTCAAACTTGGTTCTGCTGGGTGTTCTGAGAAGAGCCCCGGAGTTAATTTCGGTGCTTTGGTACTCAATGGTACAGGGTCAAAAGCACGTCAAGCTTAACACTTACTCTCTCTACATAAATATTTAAGCCCTTTTAGTACATGTTATTACTACTTAAGTGTAATATTCGGTACTCGTTGTCTATAGTATAGTTCAAATTTCTATATTAATTCATAATGACTGTTTGTACCAAAATAAATAAAAAAAAAAAAAAAATACCTATAGATTTACATCCAACTCTATGCCGCTTACGGTAAGAACGGTCCAAAGTACAAAGTGTCACGCTTGACGTGCCACAAAGAATTATCTAGTTTGAGACCAGGCAATTAGTGTGGTTGTCTTACATTGTATAATACCGTCATTATAAGAAAAATCTATTTTTTTTACGACATGCTTCTATGTGGTGTGCAGTGGCAACGTTACGTCTAACAGATTTCGCTAAGGCACTGTGCAGAAGGAGCAACTTTGATCATCAAATTTCGGCAACTGACAACCCGTAACTAGCTGTTTATGACGTTTTTCATATAATTTCAAGAAACCGCGCAGACGCAGTAACTTCAGTTGAGAGTTTCGGCAATCGACTACAGTTTTCGATTGCCGAAATCCGTGATTAAGTAAATTCTTAATTGCCGCAACTAGAAATTTGCAAATTTGTACCGGTTGTCTCCAGTTGCTAGTTTCCGCAAACGGCAACCGCAACTCGTGAAGCAACTTCATTCCCTCCCCGTCGCCCGCAACGCCAGTCTTGACTGTGGATTTCGAAAGTTTATTTAAAATTGTGGCAACCAGCAACTAGGCCTTTTAGTTGCTACAACCGGCAACTAACCGTTAATGAAAATTTGTAAAGAGTTGCTAGTTGCGTCAACTAAAGTTTTTCAATCTGCGGAGCGCCTAAATGATAATGTCACTACTTTGTCACTACGACATCGATGCAATGCATGGTGGTATATTAGCAACATGTTAATTTTTTTGTAATAAAATTATTCTTTGCCATCTATAAATTAAAAAAAACTGTTTATGATAGTCACAGAATTGACAAAAAACTGATTATTTCTTTCTTTTCAATAAAAGTAATAGTTATTATACAATATTCAACAACACAATTGCGTGTATCCTAATGTTGTGTGGCAAACGCGGGAATTGCAGATAGAACTTTGTCTACCCAAATAAATGGATGAAATTTAAAAAAAATAATAATGTACCTATTATAATATATAATATATTATAAATAAGTTTTGCACGATTATAATGATATTATGTTTTAGTTTATGAACCGGTGATGGACACGATCAGTGAAATCGAGAATCGTGGTATATTATCTATCGATATTTATATATCATAATATAATTGAAATCATCTCAATAGATAGTTCATTAATAGGGTCCGCCCCCACGAATAATGCCGAATAGACGTGTCATCACTGTTTGGTAATTTTCAGTTAAATTTCTGTAGAATGTAACCGAGCATACCTAAATAATACCATAGTACACATCGCATAGAAATTCAACAAAAACACAATTAAAAAAAATACATCGTAGCTCTAAACAACACGAGTAATTTACAAAAATTAAAATCATTCAAACGTTTTAAAAATTACCGCCAAAGTATTTCGTTGATCAACTCTAAAAGTATGTGTGTACATTTTCGAAGCGACTTGTCACAATTTTTTACAGTCACACCAGAGAACAAAAAAGTAACGTCACACGTAAGTTTGTCGTGTGAAATTGTGAAAATAAACATTAATTCTCATTGCAATTGACTCGAAAAGTGATGCATTATCAATGATCCGTAGGTAGGTGTCAATGATCGTATGCTAATGAGTGATAATATAACGTGAATAGCTTTTATTGTTTTGTCGTGTTTAAAAAATATATAATTTGTCGAACTCTGCTACAAATTTATGTTATCCTAATTCTGTCTACCTACCGAGTTAGATTACTAAATTTCGTCTGCTTAAAGGTAAAACCACATAAGTGACATTCCACAAATCCGCAAAAAATCTCTAAATTATGTACCTACTAGTTGTAAAAATCACCATCTTTCTGCAGATAAAACTACTTATTGAGTTTATAGCTTTTTTGTTATTGAGTTTCGCCTGGAGAAAGATAGTGATTCTCTTACCATAGCTATATAAAGACTTTTTGTAGAAATGTCCCTTATGTGGTTTTTCCTTTAAACAGACGATTTATTCATAGGTTACTTAGTCGTCCTTTATAAAGGACTTACTCTACAGCAAACATATGCCTACATTTTCATTTTAATACAGAACATTCCTGTTGTACTGTGTTAAAAATCATAATAATAAGTTTTAGGGAAAATTGGCAGGGTAATTAATAAAATACACACTTCTCAATGGAATCACTGCGAGTTTATTTTATTTTTATACTTTTATTACATCCAACTGTTATATTTGATGAGAATCAAACGGAGGTTTCAACCTAAAATAACCGCTCAACTAACCAGAGTACATTCCTCCCGAAAAGGCAAACAATAATACAGGAAACCGGTACGAGATGGCGCTAGTAACTACAAATAGTTACCAAGAAATGGCGCCAGTAATTTAATTTTCCTGTGTAATGTCTCCGTAGGTTTCCTGTTTTATCATTTGATGTTAGAAGTCAGATTAGATACTTAATGTACTACTTTTCCCGTCATTTTGATATGTGCGCAGCCCTCGGATTCCTTATTCACATAGATTAACAACATCAAAACAAGAAAAGACACCCCACTTTAAGGTTTATTTGAGAGCATTTTTAAAACATTTTTCTTGTAAATTTAGTAAGTAGACAAAAAATTATTTAAATATTGTGTGTGTCGAAATATTTTATCTTTAAACAAATTTCACAGGGTTTTTAACCAATTTACATTGTAACGTTCTTATTGATTTCCTGCAAAATCTAAAGTCTTACGGTATACATCCAACGAATGATGGTATGATCACAGCATCATTTGTTTAAAAAGCAATATTGAAAAATTGCTCTCAAATATATAATCTAACGATCATTGGAATTTCAACTTTAAGGGAGATGTTAATTAGAAACATTTTCAATGTAATTTGAATTGTTAAAAACATTTGGCACTACATATTGAGCTTGTTGCAATTTTATTTACGCACGTATCGTATTAATTTTGATATCAATTTGATCTTATTATAAAACAAAA